TGTCTTCGGGGCTGAAGTTGTATAGACCGTAATTATAGTTTCCTTTTTTCCATCAGTCTAGCGACTGCTGTTGGTTTCTAAGAGCCGTTGAATGCGCTACAAACGATGAGCTTGAGGATCTGATGGGACTAGGGAATAAACCCTACTTGACCAACACCGAAAGACCACCTGGGTCACAAGTACCAATCATAGTATCATCCCATGTAGCAACATTGAGGAAATTATCTTGGCATGATGTTTGATCGAATTCCACGTATTTATTCTTCGCATAGCCATAGGCGTCCGACACCCGGCCAAAAGTTATCTTTGGTTGACATAAGCAGAGTCATTTGGTAATAACGGCGATGCTTCTGCTTATGTAGAGGATGAAAGCAGCCGAGCCTTTGAAATAGGCGTTGATTACAATTTCGGTGGTTAGACCAATCAGTTGGTCGGCAACATCTAAAGTTGCATTGCCAGTCGGCTGGGTAAAAATGCCTTTTGGTCCCGCTTGCTTTGCTAATACTTGCGCATCTTCAAGGAAGTAGCCATCTTTCATTGCCGAGGCCAGATTTGATCCGTCGATGAAAAGCGAGTCATGAAGATCGTCAATACTGTTCCAGGTTTCAAAAACCCTTTCCTTCACTGGCATCTGTTGATATACTGAAAAGCGCCCATGAATAATACTTTAGATGACTCGGCGCAGGATCAAGTCGTGATGCACAGCCAGCAAGCACGTTGGAAGTTGCAGAGAGACCACTCTCACTCTCTCTCTCTCATTTCGGCCCAGCGGCGAGTGAGGAAAATTAAGCGACAAGAGGTTGAGGTTTCCTAATATAGCTAGAAGGGAGGCCGGGAAAGCAGGGAAGCTGCTCTGGTTTCACTTTGATGGCACTGCGGTCTCGTATCTGGGAAAAAACGAGCTCAAACGCTTAGTAATATACTCTACATGCATTTGGATCATCTGACGGAACTTTGTACTAGGTGCTCGAGTTCGCATCGATTGATGATCTGTGGTATCAGCGGTTGATATACCGCACTCGGCATATCTTTTTTCCGTTCCGTGAGAGTTGAATAAATTCTCTACTCCCCTCATCAACCACCCCTAGCTATTGCGCTGAAATATAGGGATGCCCAGCTATAACCCACATACGCTGCCAAGGCCTATCACCAGGCTCCATATACACATCAGCCTCACAATGAACGACAGCTTGCCATGACTCGTGGTTTGATGCGCCTTGATTTCTCAGGAGGGTATCCTCAGGAGAGGAGCAATAAAGAATTCAAGGTGTACGTACATGTGGGAGAGTATCTTAGCCAAGTTGTCTATCTAGCTGCGAAGCTACTCTATGTTTATGAGGAAAATTCGTTGATTCCTTACATTTTGTCGTACTTTCCGTAGGCTACGCAGAGAGAGCGTGGACATGTGGAACAGCAGACCAACGCAGGGTTTGAGCACCTCGCCAAACCAAACTCCTTCGTACTGGTTCATATTGGCTGTGCTATTTCGCTAGCCCGGATCGGTAAGACCGGTTCCCTGGCACCCGCAACAAGTATCCGGAGACGGTGGCATGCATCCGAAGGCCATCAAGATTTCGGTTACGTTTCCGAAGTTCAAAGGGCGAGTAGTTGGGACGTAGACAATTAGAAGACATCTCGTGATCTCTGCCAAAGTGAGTTTATTCAAGGTGCAAATAGGATCCTTGGATGGTATCAATGACATGCCAAAAATTAAGCGCAGAGGAGAAAGTTTCACAGAACGTGTTGACCCAACATATTCTATAAGATTCTTTGGCTACTTATTTGAAACGAACAAGAAAAGCATAACAGGATCCACCAGATACAGTAATGAGGGCCGGCTGACCGAACATGAATGCTCGCATGGGACGGGGCTCCACGGCGCCTGTAGACAGTGAGCGACGATGTTAATGCAAGGCACCTCTGATGCAGAGACCTGTTTCAGGGCAATGACAATATAGACACAAGTCATTCCGTATCGCGGTCACGTTAGAGAGAAAATGTAGACTCAACGCAGGTATGTGCATCACGTCGAGGCTACATGAAGCTACTCTGGCGCAATTGCGCAATCTCTGAAATCACACCGAGGGTCATCGTTGAAAGCGAAATCCAGATCTTCGTGGGTAGTCGGCGGAAAGCCTTGATCGACGCCCAACTTGATGGTAGGCTGACAGTAAGGGTTGTACATATTCCTCGAAGTTGATGACCGTGCATAAGGGACTAAGTTTGCATATGTACAAAAGTGATGCACACTTGCCTTAAGATACCAGCGCGATCATTAACCTCTACGTTGCTTGAGCGATATCGCCAATCCTTGGTAAAGCCGCTCCTTTTAGTGTTCATATTATCCTTCCACGCACCCTCGTACAAAGCAACATGTGCATAGCCAAAATATAGACGACAAGTCCATGAAGGAGTCCCCTGCTGAACGAATGCGCAGCACTTCCATGCTCTACTATGCTGAGTATTGAGCTGACAGGGTTGCTGGGGGGCTTCTTGATGTGCGTGGAAGTCGCACTTGGCGTGCCTGACGATGTTGTTGTGCCCGCGGTGGAGGATGGGTCAGGATTTGATTCCAAAGGGATATCATCAAATTCGAGCATTGCAAGTTGAATCCGGTAGACCCCGTTGTTCGTTCCCCCAACATCCTGTGATCATTGGCTCAACCCTTCCCAAATAACTCAAGATCTTAGGAGCTTACCTGGGAAGTCCAGCTAAGCAAAAGGCTCTTACCATCTACACCAGCACTACCCGGGCCATACCACCCATTGACTTGTTGTTTTTGGGGACTGGTTATTGGGTATAAGGATTGAGGGAAGTATTGCGTGTTGAAATACTCAGGATGAGCCATGCCGGCGTAGTTGAACCCCCCCGGGCCAGAGGGTGATGCGTACAGCTTCTGCTCGGCGGACCAGGTATATCTGACCAATGCCTCCGCATCTTCTGCTTCTATTCCCTTGCCGTTCTTGCCTCCTACGATCCATGTCGCATCATGTCCCAGCGGACCGTCGAGCTGTATATACCGTACATAGAAGGTGGAATCGACCATCTTGTTGAAATACACCATGATGAAGGTCTTGAAGTATGGACTGTAGAATACACTTCCAGACGAGAACGTACCGGGCAGGTAGATTTGTGCGGCGTCTTGGAGACTTGGTTTTGGGGGGCTAGCCGAGAAGTTCTGGCCTTGTGGATCCCAGAACGTGTACTTTGAAAAATCGCTCAGGCTATTCATACCGACTCGAGCGAGCTGCAGACCGGAGGCAGTCATGCCAAGCAGATAAACATCACGATTGCCCAAGTCTTTGTCTGTGGCTGTATCGGTACTCTTGTAGCCAAGGATTGATGAAAAGCCTCCATACGCAACTTCAGTTCCTGGGATGATGAGATCACCTTGGCGAGCAGCGACAGGTCCAGTATTTGGTGCTGTGATGGTAATCAAGGTCATGCCGCGAGCTTGGTATTCTTTCGAAGGATCTTGAGGCTTGCTATCCACATAGACTAGTGGTGCGTAGAGGAAAACTTGTGTGGTACTGACGGGCGTAGGAGATGTGCCAGGCCCTGTAGCAGTGGTCAGATACCGCGAACATCGCCAGATTCGATGGCTCAATCCTTGTGAATCGATGGAGGCTTACATATTGCTACTCTTTCTTTGCCGTTCATCTGCTCGTTGTACTGCAACTCGTCCGGCTGGAAAGGAATCCAACCGCCGGTGCCGACAGTGGTATGGGCAAGTATCGCCGTCTTCGGGCTTCCCTCAGGGTTGGTCCCCAAGTTGACAACCCCAAAATCGGCAACGGTGGCAACATCGCTGTCCGGTTGATTCGCATAAGCGGCAGTATTGGAAACAAAAGACAATTGATTTCCTTGCGTGTCCATGCATTCTGTGTCATCATAAAGCCAGACAATGTTTCCGTTGACCAGTGCCGAGTAACCACCGTCTCGCGATACGTTGGTTACATCTGGAGTGAGCTGTGGTCCTAAGATAGTGACGTTCTTGACGATTATGGGGGTCGATGCTTGAGTGAGGGTGCTCAATATTAGACAAGAGGTGAAAAGTTGTGCAACACTTGGGAAGCAAGACATGCTCGAATACATTTTCAAGAAGCAGTCACCAAGATCACATGCAGTATGATTTTAGAAACGCTGTTCAGACGCAATTGCGGACTGGCGCCAAAATAAGGAAGTGAAGTCGCGGCTACCTCGACTATAAAGTGTTGTCATTTGACGGCAAAGTTTGGTTTATTTCACGAGAAAACGATTTTTCATCAAAGTAAAGCAATCTTTACCGGATGAAGCCCTCAGACTTTGCCATCCGCAGGCATTGGCCCAAGCATGCGGTCGAATCCACATGCATGCCTCTCGGAAACGATCTAGAGGTATCTCACCGCCACAGTTATGGTCTCATTGCTCTTACTATCTCCTGGAGCACAATTGTTGCAACTGATGCTGAACGGAGCCCCATGAGTCCATGGCACACACCCAATCACTAGCTCTTCACATTCACGTTCAGGCTCCCAGCGTCTGGGCTTCACTGCCGAACTTCTGCTATGAATACGATTAGGATACCCATTACAGAAGGTCTGGATGCGGAAGTACACGAGATCCTCACTCATCGATATGTGAGAGGGCGGGATTGAAGACGAGCGATGCAAGATGAGGTTTCGACATGGTGACGTGGCTTAGGGTTAGGGTTAGAAAGCCACCAATAGTTCAGGGTCCCGAGTCTGCAATCATTTGACGATGTTTATTCCTTAGGGTGTCACTCGTGTGTGTTTCCGTGTGATTATTTCTTAGAGTGTCACTCGTCTGTGTTTCCCTGTGATATCTCTGCGCCCTCATCGCGAGATATATAATCCTTCTGCTTCGCTGTCCAGACTTTGCTAATCCATCTTCTTCCGACTATTCCCCCCTCGATAGCAACGCAAATGCGCACCTAATTGGGGAGAAATCCCCAGCTCGGTAACTTTGTTTATCCTGTATTACGCTTTCAGTCCACGAAGATGTCTAGCAAACTTGCACCAATCTCCTATGCCTCATCTATCGTTGGCTTTACAAGCTTCGCATTTACATTCTTTACCTTCGTAAGGGTGTTCTGGGAGACGATCTTGACATTATGGTCTGCACCCAAACAAATGATGGGCCAACTCGACAATTTGAGGATCGAAATACATAACGAGAGAGCCTATTTCAAGTCCGCATTGAGACGGACAAAGTCGAGAAGTAGGAGTGTCAAGAGGCACCATGAAGATATTGCACCTTTGAAAATTCTTAATGGCACTGTCAGGCGTATCCATCGCGAATTCGTCAGATTGGAAGAGCCCTTCTTGAACACCTCACCCTCTAGAGCCGAGGAAGACATCGAGCGCCATTCCGAGGAAAGCGTTGAGACCAAGTATGCCTCTATGACCCTCTCGCGACGATGGAAGTGGATGCGGACCAAGTCTGATATCCTTTCGATCGCTGAGCAAGTCGATCGGATTCAAACGCAAAGAATAGCTTGTGATACTACCAACTTGTTAATGTAGGTTTCCTATACGCAGGCTGGAGGAGTCACCAAGGCTGACTACGTTTCGTAGGAAACTTCATACGATGGACAAAACCTTCCAGGATTTTGAGGATAGACTATGGGATATGTGCGACAGATCTGAGCGTCCGATTCGAAAGTACCATGCTGACACAAAACAGTGAAGAACACATCATGGGCGAACGGCTGGACGACGGAAAGATCTACATCAAAAGACGAGTCGACCGGTCACCGAATAGGTCACCAAGGTGAAAGGGGGAAAACAAGGCTCTTCTCAGACATCTAGACGATCTTTGAGCCAACATCAAACTATTCGCTTAAACCTCGGTAAGAGCGGCCGAGAAGCTCCCCTCCTACCGAGATCTCCCGCGAAAGTCGTCACGAAGACAAGATATGGTGCCTGTAGAAAATTCAACATAACAGTCACTTCTCTAACATGGCTAGAGACAACGCATGGCTTCATGATGTTCTAGAATCATCGCGAATGGTACTTTCCTTTACTGTCTCGAGACGAAAATCCTGACTGGAAACGCAGGTGTGGAAGCTTTCATGGCACCGATCACTGACCGCATGGTTCTATGTTCCAATCGGCGTTTTGTGTGTCTTATTGGCTTGTTGGGGTGTGGATAGCCTTATCGGCCTAAGCTCCGTGTCTTTTCCCGCCTCCGTTGCGTTGTTGATAGTACTATTTTTTGCTCTAGTCGTATGCGAGACAATTCTTGGAGACCGGAGAACCAAGAAGCTTGTGCACGTGATCGACATTCCCGTGAGCTTTCAGACCTTACAGACCATGAACATCAATTCACAGTATACCAGGCCGGGTTTGCTCTTCGATACATCAATGTGTTCTTCACGCCTTCATTCGGTCAGTGCATCATGGTACAACCTTGATAGATCGTAGAACATGGAAGATCAGCACTGCTTTGCCAAAAAAGAACGCTGACCTTAAGCAGTCCTATTACCGCTCAGTCCATCTGTGAGCGGTGTCGAAGTAGGCAAGATCATTGCCGTCTTCTGTAAGGACAGATTATCTCCAAAATTGGGACAGATGTTGACGTTTGTCACAAGTGATCGGCTTTGTGGTGATGTTTGCAACTACCGCATACTTCACTCGCGGACTTCAGCTGCTGCTCGGCAGCTCAAAAAGAGCTATCATCGAGCGAGCCGAGGAAATGGGCGTTGAAGACGACGACATTCCCCTGACCCAATTGCCCAGGAACCCACCAACGCCCGAGGCTTCTTCAACGGACTTGGGAGAAACCGATTACTCTTCGGGCGAAGCAAGTCAGAATATAGCTCTTCCATCCCGGACCCAGAATCCCTCGCAGGTCCGCATCACCAACGGCCCACCCGAATCCGAAACACTCACCACAACGACTCCCTCGCAGCCCATACCCCGACAAGACCCGCTCCCTCCAACACGCCCCCAAAAATGGGCCACCATTATCAACATCCACCTCGACACCCTGACCTACGCCCTCCTCTTCCTCCTCATCGGCCTACCGATCTACTACTCAACCTCCTACACCATGCCCGCGCACCTCACCCTCTCGATCCTAACCTACTTCCTCGCTCTCTCCCTGCCACCCCGCCACAAACGCATCATCCACCCCGTCCTCCTCTCCTCCTCCCTCACCATCCTCCTCATCTGGCTCCTCGCCCTGTCGAAGCGCTCAACCCTCCACGCCGCCCTCCTGACCTACAGCACCAAAACGCGCTACATCCAGCTCTTCAACGACGACGGACCGCACCTCCCTCCACCGGGCGCAGGCGACGTTTTCGGCTCCGTCCTCGACGTCTCCATCGTCGCCCTCGCCCTCCCAATGTTCCAGTACAGACTGGAGCTCAAACGCCACTTCCCCAGCATCATCCTCCCGAACGTCCTCATGGCAACCGGTTCCCTCTTCGGCTACCCCTCCCTCTGCCGCGCCCTCGGTATCTCACCCGCTCGCTCCCTCTCCTTCGCGTCTCGCTCCCTGACCCTCGCCCTCGCAACGCCGGCCACGCAGAACCTCGGCGGAGACTTGCAGCTCGTGGCCGTGCTGTGCATCATGAGTGGCGTCATGGGCGTGCTTGTCGGACCTACGTTGCTGACGTGGATGCGGATTCCGGAGGATGATTATGTGACTAGGGGTGTGACGTTGGGAGGGAATAGCAGTGCGATTGCGACGGCGTTGCTGTTGGTGAGTGATCCGCGGGCGGCGGCGTTGAGTAGTTTGAGTATGTCACTGTTTGGGACGGTGATGGTGGGATTGACGAGTGTGCCGGTCGTTGTTAAAGTCGTTGGGGGGTTGGCGGGGGTGGAGGGATAGTGTGCGAGCAATTCATGGGATCTAGTTCCTCTCTGCAAGTATCGTACAGCATCGTTGAGGATGCCTCTTATCGTATCTCGTGTGAGACAACCCAGTCTAAGCGCCATAGATGCTTTATCGTGATCCATATCGCAACGCCCTGTTCCAACACCATAATGGAAAAGCTCAAGCAGACCCATTGGTACCATCCATCTTCCCTTGCTTGACTAACCAGCCCAGTAAATCAACTTTAGTCACCACCGCTACTGGCTTCATCCATACCTCTTCTCCATCCTCTTTCTCTGTCACCACAGCCGCGCTATTCCATTCAAAAAATCTGGACAATGCCCCTAGCGGCGTATCCAGGGTAATTTCGACAAACTTCCGTTTCTGAGGCACACTCTGACCATCTGCCTCCCCGTTTGTTTTCAACGCCGACTGTGTGTGAGTATGCTTGTGGCTTTCGTTTCCTGATGGCGGCGGTGGTGGGGCGAGCCTTCCAATATCTCTCGGATCCGTAACGACTTCGCTGATCTTGGCGAAATTGAACATGACATCTTTAACAGGACTCTTGCCCGTCGCACGGCCTTGACTTATCCAGCTGAGCAGATTTCCCAGTGTTACGAGACCGACTAGTCTTTTCTTGCCAGAAGCTGCAAGTACAGGCAGTTGGTCGAAGCCTTTTTCGCGCATTGTTTCGATGGCTTCTGTGCAGGGAGTGGTGGTTTGGACTGTGGTGACGGGTTTAAGGCGGAGAGTGCGGATTGTGGCATCTTTGAAGGGAGATTTGTCTTTGGAGGCGGACATTGAGGAGCGACGGTGTTGGGCTGGAAGGGCTGGTGATGGGGGGTTTGTTGGTGGTGGGGTGGGAGGAAGGAGGTCGTTCGCTGCGAGCCAGTCGTCGTCCACGAACTGTGATAGTTAGCTGAGGGCGCATATGGGACAAGAATATAAGGACCTACCTTGCTGAGGTAGCTTCGTATGCTGTCAGGTAGTATAACAACCACCACATCATCCTTGCCTAATCCCAAATCTTTGACACTCTTCACCATAGCAGCAATCGCACTTCCACTACTGCCCCCCACGAGGAGTCCCTCTTCAGCAATCAGCCTCCTCGCGTAGGCAAAAGCTTCTCTATCGTCGGTTTTATACCAATGATCAACGGTCCCCTGATCCAGCACATCCGGCACAAAGTCATATCCTATACCCTCAACCTTGTATGACTCATTTGCGTGCATGTTGTTCAGCGAAGTGGGCATTGCCAGTATCGATCCATATGGATCGGCGGCGATTATTTTCACATTTTTATTGTGTTTCCGTAATCCTCTCGCCAGTCCTGTGATTGTACCACCTGTTCCTGCTCCCGCCACTATAGCTGTGATCTTGCCGTCTGTTTGTTCCCACACTTCTTCGGCGGTCCCGTACTCGTGTGCTAAAGGGTTGTCAGGGTTTCCGTACTGATCTAATATATGAGCATTGGGTATCTCCTTCTGTAATCTTCGAGCGACACCGATGTGGGATTCGGGCGAGTCGAAGGCGGCTTGGGTTGGGGTGCGGATGATGGTCGCATTTAGGGAGCGAAGGACGGCGACTTTCTCCGGGGACATTTTCTCAGGAAGGGTAATGATTGTTTTGTAGCCTTCAATATGTCAGTAAGCTAAGTGTACGATAATAGCTCATGTAGCGTACCCTTTACTGCCGCGACCAAAGCAAGACCGATGCCACTGTACGCGGGTCAGACAATCAGACAAATACTCTGACGCACTTCTTTCGCCAGGAGCCTTACGTATTACCACTTGTTGGCTCTATCAACGTATCTCCAGGTTTGATCCTTCCTTTCCGTTCTGCTTCCTCGATCATTCGCAAGGCGATACGGTCTTTGACGCTTCCTCCGGCATTGAAGTACTCGAGCTTTGCATAAACGGTAGCTTCTATACCAAGACTATGAGGTATCTTGTTCAGCTTGACCATGGGCGTGTTCCCAATTTGTTGGGTGATTGTGTCCATTACCACTGGCGGTATCTTGGGCTGTGTGAGAGTCGACATGGCAGAGAGATTTCGGAGGTCGGTTTCGAAGTCTGAGAGAATTTTTTTTGAAAGAGGAATTATTTGTGGTCGTTGACACGAATGACCGTAATCTACGGAGTGAAAGCCGATGCTAGCCGAGATTCAACGCTTCCGAGGGACTTTGACTTGACAGTATGCCTGTTTTTGATCGGATGCTCTTTTTTATAGGTGAGTATCGAAATTTGATCTATTGTTCATTGAAGTATTCTTATGGACGATATGTGCAATAGGATGGACATCTCATGAAGACTTTATGCAGGAGTGCGGTATCGGCAACGACGATAACACATCTTCAAATCTGAGGTATCAACACCTCTGAGAAGTATCGATCGATATCCCTTACGTCCTCCAGCTCACCAATCCAGCCGACATATTGATCAGGCCTAGCAATGACTACACAACCGCTTTCCTTGTCCACTCCGAAGTTCTTGTAGGCTTCTCCGTGGCCCTCGTGATAGGAAACGTCATCGACAAAGACCTTTTCATAATCCCATCCTCTTTTCTCGTCGAAGGGATGGAAGATCTCGTGTAGGTCTAGCAGTTCCACCTGCTTTCTCGGCGCCGAGTGAATGACCAAGATTTCAATGACCGAGTCTACTGGCTTCGCAGAAGGTGTGAATCGGTGGAGGAAGGAGTCTGGCTTTGCGAGTGATTCTCCAAAGCCTTGCAAGCGTTTCCATTGTTTCCCATCCTTGAGATTTCCCGCTAAGACAATGATCCTGAACCGACCATCACTCTTTAAGAATTGGCCGAAATGCCAAGGACGAGCATCGCTTTGGTTGAGAACTTGGAAACTTGGGAATCGCATGCCCAGCTTGATGTTGCCAGCAAGCTCCTGCTTGCCCACGACTTTATCTATGCTGTTGATGATAGGGCCGACGTCAGTGCCATCTCCCTGATCCGCTGAGTCTCCAGGTTTCGCAACAAGGATGCTCGCCCCGTAGTCTACCGCCAGTCCAGAGGCGAACATGTTCCCTTTCTCAAAGGCATCCTTGAACTCGGCCATCGATATACCAGCCTCATCCGCTGCGTCTTTCGCAGGTCTGCCTGAGAACAGACGAGAGAATCGGTGGTCAAAGGCAATCAGATCCTGCGCTATCCTCCTACGCTCACTCTGGTAAGTCCTCAAGATAGAGCGTTTGGCAAGACCCTTGACGACTAAACCGATCTTCCAGCCGAGGTTGTAAGTATCTTGCATGGACACTGGATTGTAAATTCGGAGTCAGTATTGCCTATTCGAGGGGTTGCATGGAGCCTTGGAACATGTCTACAGAGTAGAAACTCCCAAGACATGTTTCAAGGCTCAAGACTTGGTCCAAAGGAGGAAGGATGGACTCGGAAAATACATACCGTTCATCCCTTGGCCTGCTTTTGGTGAGTGAGTGTGGACCGCGTCTCCGGCCAGGAAGACTCGATCATCACAGCTAAACGAATTGCCCACCCTCTGGCCGATCTGGTAAGCTGTCCACCAGTCACAGTAGTCGTACGTCAACTTATATGGACTCATGATTTTTTGGGCAGCTTTCAGGATGATCTCCGGAGTGATCTTCGATCGGTCAACCTGCTGCCCGGCGCTGTTGACCTCATTCAGTTGAATGTAGAATCGAACAAGCCTGTTCTCGCGCGGGATGATCATGATACTCCCGGATTCTGCGCTATGGATTGCACATCTCATACGAATGTCCGGGAAATTTGTGATTGGAATTATGTCAAGGACACCCCAGATAAAGTCAGTCTGCTCGCCTTGCATATGGAAATCGAGTTGCCGTCGAGTCCAACTATGGGCTCCATCACACCCAATCATGTACTTGGTGCGGATGACTTCAGTAGTGCCCTCCTTCCCTCGGCTCTTCCGTATCAAGTCGTCAGTATCATCTTTAGCAAGACTACTTCGAAACAGACCATCTGGAACGTTCGTGCCGTTCTGAACTGGGGTTGCTTCATCGTCGTCTAGATGCCGGATCTTGACTTTGATGGGATAAGCACGCTCGTCCTCAGCCTTAGAATGGTCAATCTCGAGCTGTTCGGGTAGAACGCCTCTTTCGATCTCGATGTCGGAGTATTCTTTCAGTGAGTCCAAAAAAAATCTCTCGATACGTCCTTGATGCAGAACGACCTGCTGAAACCTGGATATGCCGGGAATAGTATCCGGGATTCTATCAGTCCTTCTAATTCTGCCAGTCTCATCCGGATTCCAGAGACATATCTCCAGCATGTGATTTGACTCCTTGCAGACCCTGTCTGCGAAGCCAAAACTATCAAAAATCTCCAGACTCCTACATTGCAAGCCATCAGCTTGGCCGTTGAAGATCTTTGTGCCTCTCTTGTCGACTATCCTGGCGTGTATCCCACATCTTGCTGCCCAAGTAGCTGCCATCAACCCCGCGGGACCAGCCCCAGTAATGAGCAAATCGCATTTGGAGTCTTCTAATTGAAGCATCTTGAAAGTAGAAGGAGAGGTACCACGTTGTCAGTACGGCTGAGAAGAAGCAGTATGAACAGTAGATACAGGAAAAAGGAAAAAGGAAAAAGGAAAAAGATGCAAGGACAGGCAAGGAAGCCATTAGAACGAGACTCTTCTAGGTATGCACAATTTCACCCTGCTGATTTGCTCCCCACTGTCTCAGATCTGCGAGCAGCGACATCTTTGCCATGCGAAGAACCGAAGATGTACTACTCTGCTTGTAGTAACTCTACGTCAGGCGGGGAACTTGAAGAGCGGTGTTTGCGATTGCGGGGTCTTTCAGGCGAGCGCCAAGCGCTTAGGGGTCCGTTCCTTCGATCATAATCTCAGACTTGACGGCATTGCACTGTTGATATCTTCCCATATATATATTCAATCAAAACTTTTTCAAGTGTCTTATTCGATCTTGCCCAGACTGAAGGGTCCACAATAAGGCCACCAGAACGCCAATTTCCTGCAGCTGAGGATTACTTTGCTTTAGGCTCTGGGCGCCAAGGGGCCGGATCGCGGGAGTCACCTACGAGCTGAGCGTCATGAAATGAGAGCGCTCTCCTTTACCCCATCTCTCTCTTATTCTGCCCAACTTTCTTCGTTTCTGGTAGAAAATCGTCCATTAAATGTTCTCCTTCTGAGGCGTAGCAGTCTGCAAGTCGCAATCTTTTCTGGTTGTTTACCTTTCTTTTTTTTTGTCGTTCCTTTGGGTCCTTTCCCCGCAGCCGGTCTCTGATGCAACAATTATACACTGCGCAATATGTTGAGCAGATTCCGAGGCAAACCGGAACCCAATCTCCAAGCGGGTGTACGTGAGGAAGCTGTCGGTCTTCCGGAATCAGCACATGTACAACATGAGAAACCGCAGCACCATATGCACATGCCGGGGTTCAACCACAACGGACACAAAATCACAAAAGGTATACATCCCGACGGCGAAAGTGGGAGAGGAGGAGTACACCCGTGGCATTTCCTACGGATATGTTTTAGATCCTCAAGTCATCTTTCTTTGGTGGTCAATATCCTCTGGCCTTTCGTACCCGCAGCGATTGCGATCCACTTCGCTCGTCCAGACCTACATCTATGGATCTTCATACTCAACTATGTTGCTATGGTTCCTACCGCAAACCTGGTCGGTTTCGCTGGACAAGAACTGGCACGAAAGCTGCCAAAAGTGCTAGGTGAGCGCAAAGAAGTGTTGTTTTGTTAAAGTGCTGCACCTCAGGTTCGCTGTTGTTGCGGGATTCAGCCTTTCAGACGTCGCATACTGATGGAAACCTGCCAGGTCTCATCCTCGAAACGTTCCTCGGTGGGATCGTTGAGATCGTACTTTTCATGGTACTCCTCCACAACAGTGTCAACAATAGCCTCATTCCTGTTATCAGATCGGCCATCCTGGGCTCCATCCTTGCGAATTTGCTACTATGCCTTGGGTTCTGTTTCTTTGCAGGTGGTCTGAGAAGAAACGAACAAGAATTCGACGAAGTGATTAGCGAAGTTGGAAATGGCCAACTCCTCATGGCCGGCTTCGGGTTACTTATTCCCAGCGCATTCTATTCTTCGCTCCGAGGATCTATAGAAGACTCAGTACTAGACGCCAACGTCCTTCACATCAGTCGAACAACGTCGGTGATACTCCTTATAGCTTTCCTGATGCAAGAGGCTCTTACCCCTGCGCTCGTCAAGACAGTGGCTAATTTCGATAGCTATGTATGGTTCCAGATGCATACGCATCACGGATTATACGCCGACTCGCTCGAGAAAGACGAAGAACGCGATGCAGACCGGCATATAGACCTTGCAAAAGACAAATTGACGCTCACGGAATGTATCGTCGCAACGCTCATTGCATTGACTTGCGTCTCGCTTCACGCTGTGTTCCTAGGTAAAGTCCCTTCCAGTTCCGCCACCACTGCTACTCTTTCGGGATCTTTCCCCCGGGATCATGCTGACCTCATCGGTTTGGTTTCAGTGGAGGAGATCGAACACGTCGTCCACGAACACGGCGTAAGCGACGCATTCATGGGCCTTATCCTGGTTCCACTGGTCGAAAAAGCGGCGGAGCACCTCACAGGTAAGGTCTCCTCGTGTCTTTATTCCCATAAAATGTGCTAAAAATACTGGGATCCAGCCGTCGATGAGGCATGGGATAACCAAATGAACTTCGCTCTTGCGCACTGCATGGGCGCCACAATACAAACAGCATTGTTCAATTCTTCGCTCGTGGTCATCGTGGGCTGGGGCTTGAACAAGGCAATGGACCTCAATTTTGAGATCTTCAACATTGTGGTGCTCATCATGGCGATCATCGTTGTTGGCAATTTCTTGAGAGATCAGGTATGTCCTCGTTCCTCAGCTCTGTCTTCCTACTCAAGAGCCAATGCTGAGCTAAGTTTTTGTAGAAATCCAATTACCTGGAAGGTGCATTGTGCATTTTGATATATCTAATAATTGGTAAATACCCAAGGATGTGGCGAGAGTACGGGGACTAATGATGAGTAAATAGCAATTGCAAGTTGGTATTATCCTAATCCTACCCCGGGGACTACGAATACGGCGGATGGTAGTGGGATTGCAAGTAATGGGACGATACCCTGATCTTGTTCAGCTTTTACAGCACGATACATAGGGAACATGTAAGCATAGCGTTCTGAGCGAGGAGTTATCGGGCATATTAGGTTTCTATGCACACGTCTATAACACCCAAGCAATGATGCATAGCAAGGCAGTTCGCCAACCAGTGAGCATCTGCAACAGGACAAGAGCCAAGAGATAAGGTGCGAATCCCATCATAGACCCGCAAAACCACCATACCCTATCCCCTACTTGCAGCCCTTGCACATGTCAGGAATAGACGGGTAGAAAACGACACTGCTCTCCAGCCTCTCCCCAACAAGGTTATAATACCCCTCAAGCACCTCCAACGCATCTCCACTCAACATCTCCATGCCTCCCACGCTTTCCTTACAGGACTCCTCACACACCTCCTCCACCACATCTGAAGAGTAATTGACCTCCGGCTCTAGCGGCAGTCCTGTCCTATGCTGCCCGTTAAACCGCCAAGTATCGTAATCCGGCCCACCAGCCAGGGTATAGCAGAATGTGTTCTCGTCAGTGTCCTTCCCGGTGCAATATTCGACCGGATCATGAAAACGGGAGCGCAAACATTCGTTTTGAAGGGTAGGTTTGTCGTTGGGATCGTACTCGTCTTGGACGTTGATGGAAATGCTGGATTGGCACGCTGGTTCGAGGATGTAGGTGTGGTCGAGGTGAGCGTTGTAGTACCTGATCATGTAGTAGAAGCCGTAGGTTTGATCCATGGCCCAGGTCCGTGATGCACAGAAGCAGGCGGTGCGGTTTAGAGTGTCGCCTGTGGGAGCGTGTATGGCCGAGTGGGGTGGGTCGATGGATCGGGCGATGGCGGAGATGGGTGAAGTAGTGTAGCGAGGGCCGGGTGGGTAGGCGAGGATGAGGAGAGGAAGGTGGAGAATGAGGCAGAGAATGTTGGGAAACATGCTGTTTTGCCTCTGGGGTGCTGGACTAGTGTTGCTGTGGTCCTGAGTGGATCTTGTATGGAGACTTTCTAAAGGAAACGACTGTAGAGTAATGCAACTGGATAAACGATACTTTCCTCTCTCGACTGTTTGACCAATTAATATGATTGTCATGAAACAGTGTTGGGGCTTCGCAGAAACAAAGTCTGCAAATTTGGTACTGGGACGTGGGTTCCCTAACATTGCTCAACCAGGAAGCACTTGGTCGCACAGCAGGAGCTTTCCAGATAGCCCCATCTCACGTTCCCCCAGTGATCTGAATCACCGCTATAGTGCCTCGTTGTCGTCCGTATGATCCGCCGTTGAAAAGGACGGAACTGACACCCGGTAGAATCCTCGCGTCAATTCCAGGGCAGAAAAGTCATGCTACTGCCTTCTCGGATAATATTCCTGAGCAAGCTGCGTGTACCAGTTCTCGAAATATGGTTCCCCTTAAACCTAAAAGACCCGCCATTTTCAAAGGTTACTTGCAATCCAATCCCACCACTGTTTTACATCCTGGCCATCTGCACCGAGAACGTTACCACCGGCTACGCTCACAGCAACGTTGACCTCGTCCATCTGTGAAAACTCGAATTTGCCATCGCCACCATCACCGAGCCACTCTTTTTCTTCCCCAATATCTAGATCATTCATCCCAATCCCGGAGTCCAACAGTCCCTTGGTCTTTGAACTCCGCACATTAGATATCTCTGATTCTAGGGCCGTCCTCACCAGAGGAGCTGGGAGAGCTGTGAAGAGGTCTAGCTTGTTTGCAGCAATGAGGACCGGCAGCTCTTTGGGAGCTTTTGAGGTCTTCGAACTGGTGGATCGCTTTTGCAACAGAAGCAGTATGTCATGGAGATACTCTGCTGCCTGGCGAAGAGCTTCGTTACCACTGCCACTGTTGCCCATGGATATGTCCGCGGCGTCAACCATGAATATAATGCCTTTCAGATTTTGTGGCTTGATGACGCCGTCGAAAGCGTAGTGCCGTAGCTTCCCATGTCCTGGAGTATCGGCGAGTAGGAACTTTTTGTGGACTTGATTAGATGGATCGTTGACCGATCTGTATTTCAAGGACGCGGCATTCGTAGACACGGGGAGGGACACTTCGACGCTTATGGGGACTTGAGAGGTGCGGGTTTCAACGTGCTGGCCTCTTTCGAACTATGGAGTCCAATTAGAAAGGGTGCTACAGAAGTAAGATGATCATTACAAGAGTGAGCAGCGCTGTTTTCCCAGCGCCACTAGGACCAACGAGTAGAAATGAGGGTAAGGTAGTCGAGGAGGTGGAGCGGTAGATCACTAGATGAAGGAACAAAGGGACAGAGAGAACGAGGAGTATAGCAACGCCGATTGCCAAAGGCGTTGGCCCCATCAGTGACGATGGCCAACTCTGCGAATCAGTCCACGGCATGATTGCTGTGAGTTGTTCATTTAGGCAAAGTTGACTGTGGAGCTGGATAAGACCTAAATGCGGAGGACGCTAAGAACTCCGCAAGGAGTTGGCCGTCATCACTGTTACTTGTTTTCTAAGCTACGCCTCTATCAGCAAGAGTTGAACATGGTGTTTCCTTCTGTTTCATGGTCAAGAACGTCTGCAATACACCCCGAAATGAGGTAACCTGTGGGGTCGCCCAGTCCACCAAACGGTGCACAAGATGACTGCCCCGTCCGCGTCCGCGTCCGCTGAGGCTCCGCATGGCGCTGCGCCTACTACACCAGCTTTGGCAAATGGAAAAGCCAGTGCAGCACCTCCCAAGGTTACTGGCGAAAATACTGTGGAGCTCGACAAGATGGCTCCGCCTGAAGACAAGCTACCGCTCCACGAGGATATCATGCAGCTTGCAAGACTGGGAGAGATAGGCCCCATCCAAACTCTCTTCGAGACTGGGAAGTTCAATGCCAGATACAAAGACCAGGAGGGCATCACACCACTGCATGTAAGCTAAGATATATCGACTGATATGACGCGCTATGAGCTTTACTTATAGGCTGACAGTGGGCTGCAATCAACAACCACTATGCGCTCTGTAAATACCTCGTCGAGTCCGGCGCGGAGGTCAATGCAAAAGGCGGCGAGTCGGTTGCTACTCCTACTATGTGGGCTGCACAGCGATGCCATCTCTATGTCGTCAACCTGCTGCTTGAGAATGGCGCAGACCCTCTTCTCACAGATGGGCAGGGTTACAACATGCTTCATCTAGCAACATTCGACGGCAATGTGTTCCTACTCCTCATACTTCTCCACCAGAACATTCCAATCGATGGACCAGATCCCTCAGGGCATTCATGCTTGATGTGGGCTGCATATAAAGGATACCCTGCATGTGTGGATTTGTTCCTTCAATGGGGTGCCAGCGTCAACGGTGCAGACGAAAATGGTTTCACCGCGCTACATTGGGCCCTTGTCAAAGGCAATCCAGCCTGTATTCAGAAGCTGATCGAGCACGGTGCTGATCGATTTGTCGAGACCAATGACGGCAAACCCCCTGCAACAGTCGCACAAGAGATGAATTCAAAAGGCGCGTGGCACCGGGCGCTCAAAGAATCTGGCTTCAATCCAGACGGCACCGCGAAACAGCTCCCCTTACCATATGCCTCTCTCCTCAGATCTCGTGTCTTTCTAAACAGGTCCTTCTTCCTCTTCCCTTTTTTCCAGATGTTCATAATCTTCTCTGTGCTCAGCGGGATGCCCATATTCGCAGCTGTACCTATCACTATTTTCTTGGCGTACTCTCTACAGTGGGCTGCTCAGCAAGTGCTGCAGTGGGCGCCCAGCGACATGCAGCATTTACAACGGACGGTAAGCAATCTACAGCTCTCTTGATATTCAGTGTGGCTAATAAAAGAACCAGCCATACTTAGCGGGTGTTTTTGCGGCTACCTTGTTTTGGGTTGGTGTACGTTGGTTCACGACCGTGTTGATGGGTAGGTTGAGTGGTGCCTCAATCTTAGCCAAGCTAACAATTTCAGCTACATATTCATCTCATCCTGTTTTCAATCTACTATTCGTTTTCAGCTATGGACTTTGTGCATACTTCTATACATACAGCATGATCGAAGATCCTGGCTACGTGCCGAAGCTTGGAAGTCGCGCCCAGCAAAAAGCAGTTATTGACGAATTATTGAGCTTGTGGAAATTCGATGACCAGAATTTCTGTGTATCCTGCATGGTCAGGAGGCCCCTTAGGAGTAAGCACTGCAAAAGATGTGGCCGTTGCGTGGCGAAACACGATCAGTATGTCTCTGGAAATAAGTCAATAGGGCAGGCTGACCTTCCAAAGCCATTGCCCATGGATTCACAATTGTGTTGGGGCAAACAACCAACGGCACTTCCTAGTGTACATAATTGCGCTGGAGGCCGGCATGGTCTTCTTCATTCGCCTTGCAATATATCGTAAGTGCTTCATTGCCAACTTCCTCTCCTAGATAAAAGCTGACGTATCCAAGACATTCAAGACTTTCCTCAACCCAAAAAGACGCAGTGCAACATTCTCTCTGAAAGCATTTGTCGATACACATTGCGTGATACTTTCACTGTAGTTGTTACCATCTGGACATGTTTGCAAATGTTGTGGGTCACCATGCTATTGGCCGTACAGATGGTGCAAGTGGCAAGAGCACAAACCACCTACGAGAGTATGCGGGGCCACATGCATCACGGCACACAAGCCTCTCAAGCCATTACGTCTGCGTTGACTACTGGCAGTACAAGCATGGAGGGTGCCCAATTATCTAATGCGGGTATGGGCCCCAATCCTGCAATTCCTTCAGACCGGCATCAGCACAAGGAGGGGTGCTTTTCACAGTGGAAGAAGCTCCTAGGCTTCGACACCTTTGTAGCCACTGCTATTGGAGGCTCAGAAGCAGGCAGTGGGTCAAGGAGACGGGGCAACCCCTACTCGAGGGGGATCCTCACGAATTGCAAGGACTTCTGGTGCGATCCAGCTCCGTACTTTGGAAAACGAGAGACCGGGGCCGCAATGCTGGATGGAGAAGCGGTCAATTACACTAGGATGTATGAAACGCCTTCAAGGATGAAGTTGCGCAGGGCGCGGGGGGATGAGGACGGTGGCACGTATCATAGTGTAGGCAGCGAAGATGCCGTTTGATCATTTGTACAAAGCATTTCAACTCTGTAGCAATCTCATGCAAAGAATGGATCTAGTAGTTGGCGATTAAGCTAGAAACAGTCTAATGGTGCATACTTGACATATCCTAGGCTACCTTACTCCATCCTTGCCAAGAAACGCTCTACTCTCGAACTTCTTTCCCAAACCGTCATCCAACCAAAAACACCAATTCGTCTCATGTTGTCCAACACACAGTCTTCTCGACTGCTGGGGCTGTTTCAAGGCGCTCAGGAACTCCGGTCTGCTTTGACCGAGCTGCCTGCGAGGCTATCATGGATTCTCGAGCAAGCACTGTAGATCTTCTTGTGTTGGGCAGAGAATCTCCGCTGTCAAGATTGCTGGTTGCTTCGAGGAGTGATCCATAGCGTTCGCTTCCTATCTTGGCTTATCTTGGGAAACATGGACGAAGCTCGAGTGAAGGCCTTCCGCGCTTTGAAGCCGCCGTGCGTGGAACTTAGTCAAGTGGCCTTGCGGTACAAGGGCAAGAAAGCTACCACGAAAGATATCATCAACTCCCTAGAGAGCCTTCACGAGACCATTAAAAGCATCAGCGGTCAAGGCAATGCTCTAGACTCCAAGCTGGCTGATTATGTCTTCTTCCCCCTTTCGCACATCTTTGGCGACAGCAAAAACTTGCCAGTCCGAGCTATAGAAGTCGCCCTACAATGCCTACAGATTCTCATCTCGCAGGGCTGGGGGAATCAGCTATTATCTGAATTGGGCAAACAGCTATTGATCCTGCTGTGCTTTTTGGCTGGAGGAAGTGCTACGGACACGAAAGTCAAAGATGTCAACGAGGAGCTTTCCGCAACCGCTTTCGAGTGCTTGAGCAGTCTCTTCCAGGCTTCGAATGGCGCTGGTCTCGGTGCCAACTCCGTCGATTCAAGGAATATCCCCATCCTAGGTCATACTGTTACGGTTATGCTTGATGGTGTCACAGACGGTCCCTCGGTCAGTGTAAGATTGTCTGCTTTGAATGCGTTAGACTCTTTGGTCATTGGTATCACAGATGAAGAGGCCCTCAAGGGCATCTTTCCAGGAATAGTATCGTCGTTGACCAAGGTGCTGTCGTCTAAAAGTGGCTCAAAGCCGTCTTACAAGGTTCTTACTACGAGCCTTGGAATCCTGACAACTATCATTTGCAAAGTCATTGATAATGGTAAAATTGATGATGATTCTAGCAACGTTCAACAAGGTCATGCGATGACCACCAGACGCAGCAAGGGTGAGACGGGATCTTGGGCTACAGCTACATCAGCCCAGTTAAGAATGGCTCTCGCCAACATCTTGCCATTACGGTATCATGACAGATCAGAGGTGCAAGAAGCACTTATGCAGCTATGCACTTCGATTATACAGCAGTGCAGCATATCACTATTGCAGTCTATCCCAATGTTGACCGAAACACTTGTGGTGCTTTGCAGCCATTCTCGTGATGGGGCCGCTGTCTTCAACCTTGGTAGCATCTTCGCTACCAACGGCGGTCTACTTGACATAATCAAAAGCTCATTGCACGACTGGATTGTGGCTTTACCCAGAGTCATGCAATCGAATGACGACACCAAGAAGAAAAGAACCATTGAGCAAATTTCCACAGCATTCAAACTCCTCGAAAGTCATGATATGAGCCTTGAAGTCTTGAATGATTCGATGGCTGTCAACTTACGTGCGAGTGTGTCTGCCGCTATCCAGGCGTCCCCAAGGGCACATCTTGTTTCAGAAAGTAGCCTCGAAGTCTCACAATTGATACAGTCCGCCAATACCGGTTCGAGATCAGCGATGGTTTTTCAGCCTGTGCTTTTCAGTGAGTCGAGCAGTCGTCCAACAATGGTCGGGCTCCAAATGCTGGCTGCCCAACTCCAGGATACGCCAATGTCCACCGGGTTCCAGCAAGACATTGTCAATACTCTGAGAACCACATCTGGAGAAGAGCAGCTAGCTGGGCTCTGGCTGTCGCTGCAGCTCTTGAATCGTCCATCAGCAGAATCAGCAATGGTTGATCAATATCTGAATCTCCCGCCTGGCCAGGATTCGCAAGACTTGCTGCTAGACGATATTTACTCCTTTTCACTGGACGTATTATCAAAATCCACGTTCGAGGATGAGGATCGCTGGAAACTCCAGGCACTTGGCCTCGAAGCCGTAGCCATGCAAGCCCGCAGCCAAAAAGAAGATTTTCGCCCTGAGCTGGTTGACGCTCTCTACCCGATTCTTGAGCGACTTGGATCAAATAATGCAGCTCTTCAACAGCACGCCATAACATGTCTTAATACCGTCTCCACCGTCTGCGATTACCCGAATTCTGCCTCCTTGATCATCGACAACGCCGACTACCTCGTTAATGCTGTGACCCTCAAACTAAATACCTTTGACATCAGCCCTCAAGCACCCCAAGTCCTAGTCATGATGGTCCGATTGTGCGGTTCGGCGCTGATACCCTACCTCGACGACTTAGTTGAGTCAATTTTCTCCATTCTCGCCTGCTACCACGGCTATCCCAAACTAGTTGAATCGCTCTTCTCCGTTCTCAACGCCATCGTTGAAGAAGCTGCCAAATCATCTACGCGGGCCATTAAGTCGAGCACTGACACCACAACCCGACCAAGAGTCTACAAGCCATCCACTATAGCAGACATCGCTTCATTCCTTAGCTCAAACTTAGAACACACCAACCACCCACTCTCAGCGCCGGCGTCCCCTCCGTCTCCAAATTCATTTAAATCATCTCTATCGCAAAAGGACTTCGAGCCACTGGGAGAACCGGATCATTCACCAGAAGTCCCAGCAGATCCTCCCGCCCCGGCCCCTTCAAAGACCTACACTCTCCTAACCTCTATTACCAATTTGACACCTTCTCACCTGACCACTCCTTCGCCTCCCCTCCGCACACACATACTCAACCTCCTCACCACTGCTCTCCCGGTCCTGGCTTCCAATACCGATACATTCCTGCCCATAGCAGCGCAACTCTTCTCCTCTATCACTGCCCGCCTTTATGATCACGAAGCGTACACAACCCTTGCAGCAGCTAATGCACTAGCTACGCTATGTGAATGCGCAGGAGACTTTCTGTTTACCAGAGTGGAAGAAGAGTGGGACAAACTGCTTGGATTGTATAAGAGAGTAGAAAGGGAGATGAGAGAGGAAAACCGAATCTACAGCAAAGGAAAGGGGAAAGTGCTTCAGGGGATGAAGTGGAGGGTCTGGGACGGTGTGATCCATTTGCTGCTTCTGGTGGTGGGGGATGTGGGGGTTAACGAGGATATGGAGGATGGAGCCTTCGAGGCGCTTGGAGGTTTGGCAGGGGAAAGGAAAGACGTAAGAAGCGTCCTCGAAGGTTTGAATGCAGATGCGCTTTGGTTGGTCGAGGAGAAAGCGAGGAGGAACAATGGTGGGGTGAAGCTGGAGAAGCCGGTGAAGCTGCAGGGGATAGTGGGGTGGGAGTTCGCTGATGTGGACTTATGACAACGGACCCACAGACCCTCTGGCTTCCTCACTCCAGAATGCTCATCCCCAGCGTCTTCCCCTTAGCAGTCTCGCTTCAATTGTGCAACTTCATCCTTGCAGCACCAAATCTACCACACCGCTCCAGCACCGCTCTCCCCCAGCGATCTCAACGCTAACATCACACCGCCATTCTTCAAAAAATGTTACTCTCTCCAGTATACTCGGGTACGTCTTCCCCAAAAAACAACCAAACAGGAACATTACTCATGTAGACCCAGCGCAACCCCTCCCCAACATCCATACACCTACCACGTCCTCGGCAACAACTTCCGCCTCCTTTTCAACTCCCACGACGGTTTCCCGGATCGCAACGAAACCGCTGTTCAAGAAAGCATCGACGCAGCCATCACCGACGCCGCCGTTGTTCATCTGGCCCAGCGCATCATCGTGATGTCCAGACTGGACCACGGTGAACGGTATACGTGCGGCGGGTCGGAATCGAATATCATTGCGCTCGCTTTGGGGAAGACGCAAGTGTACATTGCTTTCTGCCTCTTTTGTTTCTTTCACAAGAAAAAGGGATCAAGGTCTCGAGTCAACTACATAGCTGTCTTTTGACCTTGGGGGAACGAACTACGGTTGGCGAGGTTTTGGGGAAGCCGTGATTGGGATGAAGAGGTTCACGCAGCTCTATGAGGGGATTGATTGTCTGATCGATACATTCAGGGAACGAAAAGTGGACGAGATTGGGAAGCATGAGATTCCGAGTTGGATTTAGAACGGAGGGAGGGGCAGCGTGGAGTACATAGAGCCAGGGTCAGATGCGTAGACAGTCACATGAGCAGCCAGCTGCATAAGAACTTGGGGTCACTTTGTTTCCCCCCATCATGTGAAGGGCAAGATGAGTGGGATCTTTTATTTGGATGTAGTTCGCGCTCGATATCATGGGAGTATTAAGGAGTGAGCAGAGCAGACATAATTGTCACAAGAGTGGAGTGATTGCAGCAAGGAAAAGACGACACGACCCGATTTAAGCCAGAGAGACGCAGAAGCAGCCCGGATGTTGTCCAGAGCAGCGAGGAAGTCCCTTGAATAAAGTTTTTACTCCTCCTCGGATTCCTCCTCATCGCTTTCAGCAGTATTAAGCCATTCCAAGAACGGCTCAGCGGACTTGCGGACCTTTTTGCTGGTGGCGAGGTCGACGTATTTTTTGCTAGCCTTGGAGCCCCAGTTCTTGAGCACGCCCTCGGAGATGAGGTCCTGCTGGTAGAAGGCGAGTAGTATCTTGGGGACCTGAGGGACAAGCTTGGGGTGCTCATTGCCGACGAAACGTTCGGTGCCACCTAGGAAGGCTTTTTCGTGACGCTCGGAGGTGATCATCTACTACAAGTCAATAACGCAGCGAGTAGCTAGACTAAAGAAAACGGACGAACCTTCTTGAGCATGCTGGCACGAGTAGGGATCTGTTCGACGATGGAATCATCAAAGATGGTCTGAGCAAGCACAGTCAAAGTCTTGTGCTTGGTCTCGATTCCCAGCTCTTTGGCCTTGATGTAGATGTCAACGTCCTCTACGTCCTTTACACCGCCTGTCTTTGATTGAGCAGTGCTGATGACCCAGCTTCCAAGTTGATCGTAGGCGCTGTTGCCACCTCCCTCGCCGTCGCCTTCTTCGTCGTCACCATCAAGTGTGAGCGTCTGCTTGAAGTCATCGGGTAGCTCTTGCGCGCGAGCTTTGACAGCGGCCTCGGAGACATCCACGGTCCATTGGTCATCCTTAGTATCCGATCCATTCAAGTCTTTGGCTTCGGCGTTGATGCGACGGGTAAGCTCATCGTCGCTTCCAGCTTCCAATGCAAGGTCTCCGTCTTCAGCGTCGGCATTGTCAGAATTGCTACCGTCGGGAGATGCATGTCCATTTCCATTCTGGTCGGCATCGCCATTCTCTTTGGCCATGGCTCGGCGTGCTTTCTTCTCAGCCTTGTCTTTTTTGCCTTTCCTTGGCTGGGTTTTGAGGATGAAGGAGCTGAGCTTGAGACGAAGGTCTACGTCGGAGCGTCGGCCGCAGGCCTTGCAATCCAGCGTGATATGTCCATCCTTGATCTTGACTTCCGTCTCCGGGTTCTTACACATCTTGCAGAGAACAAATTTGTTGATGAAGCCGTCTAGATAATCCTGGAGCTTGGAAGCTTCATGCGCACCGTTGATGATCCAACGGTCATCGGCAGGATTGGTATTGGTTTGAGCACCAAGCTCGAAACCGAAATACTTGATGACGTCTGAAATGATGTTAGCGAAGTATCTCCTACTCAGAGACGGCAGGGTGCGTACAAGACGGTGGTCGCGCCAACGACTGAGCGACACTGCTCAGATTGACGATGACAGTCTTGATACCGTTGCCTTTGCCCTCGATCTTGGACTGAAGACGTTCCATCTTGTAGCGATAGAAGGGGTCGGCGACATCCTGTCGTGGAGGTTAGCATACCACGACCAGGTCCTGGAAGGCAAGGATTACTGACCCGACGAATGTTAAGGGTAGCCATGATTGCGGTGAAGCGTGTTCTTTTTTAGTAATAATGCAAATAGGAAGCCGAGCACGAAAGTACAGTATGACCACGGAACAATGCCAACAGAGACATGCAGAGATCCAGGCCGCTCATGGAAGATGGCGCGAATTTGTACAAGACGGGTTTTGCGATTGCTGGGAATTACCCGTTGGATCTTGCGTAGAGGCTACAAGGTTTCCGCGGTATAGGAAATGGTTGCAGCGTGAGCGGCGGATGGTTTCTGAAGGCGTTAGAGCACGAATACATAGACAGCCGTGTAATTGCTGGTGGTGACTCTGTTTTGTAGGGATTAGATGCGTGCAATTTCCGGGACTGCACTGAGTTGGTTGCAGACGGGTCTGGCTTGATGATGGCGGAGCTTGGCTGAGAGAGTTGTTGCCTGCTAATGTTTGAAAGTTGAGTCTGATGATTTTGATGGTGTTTGTGGTTGGAGGGAGAAGGAATTAGAGGGAGAGAAAATAAGGAAGAAGAGAGAGAGAGAGAGAGAGAGAGAAAGGCAAAGGTAAGAAAAAGTTTCGGCGAGGTCAGCCGAGGGCTAGCGTGACATGTGGTCCAGGCTCCGATTGAAGCGTCTCAAGCCTGCAACAACAATTGAATGAACGCATGATTCCTGCACGTTTCCTGCCCTACAACTAGCTGCTGTATACTTTATCATTTCTTCCTGTTCTTCATTTCTTCATTTCTACCTTGACATGACAATCACTCCAACAGTTGAATAACTATGTAAGTTGCAAGATTATACAGTACTCTACTCTACTCTACTCTACTCTACTCTACAAGCGGCTTATAGGAGGATTGTCTCCGGCTTTGCCGACCTCCATGAAACCCTTCTTGACACTTGAGACCTCGTCTTCTATTTTTACATCATTCCCACATGTAACATTTTTACCAATCAAATGTCATCGCTCAGCGCTCAAGGGGGTTTGACAGTGTCCGCTGTTATGTAATTTTCCTACATTGCCCAATTAATGAGAAGGCGCGCAAAAGAACCGAACCATTCTGACCCGGGTTTGGTAGATAGTAAAGGAATGAAAGATGAATGTTCCTCCTGTGCTCCCGAGTGTATTTGCTTGACGTGAACCGTCTGGACATGGCCATCGATTACTCCCTCTACCTGGTTACGGACTCCACTCAGGCAATCCTTGGAGACAAGGATCTTGCTTCCGTGGTTGAGGCAGCTGTTGAGGGCGGTGTTACCGTCGTGCAGTATCGAGATAAGAAAAGCGAGACCGCTGATCTGATTCGCATGGGAAAGCGACTCCGTGCCATCACAAAGAAACACAACGTTCCCTTACTTATCAATGACCACGTCGGTGTTGCTCAGGCCGTTGGTGCGGATGGAGTGCACCTCGGTCAGGAGGACATGGACTTGGGAACAGCTCAAAGGATCCTGGGTCCCGACGCCATCATCGGTGTGACAGCCAACAATCTTTCCGAAGCAGTGGTAGCAGCGAGCGGAGGTGCCTCATATTTGGGGATCGGAACTGTATACGCGACGCCCACGAAGGAAAACACCAAATCAATTATAGGCACCGCTGGGGTCAAAAGGATTCTGGATCGCCTGTCCACAATGGATATGGCGATCTCTACGGTTGCAATAGGAGGGCTTAATGACTCGAACGTGCAGCGTGTGATGTTCCAATCCAAAGCACCAAGCAAAGGACTTGACGGAGTAGCGGTGGTAAGTGCCATCATAGCCGCACAAGATCCAAAAGCAGCAGCAGCTGGATTGAGGTCTTCGATAGGCAAAGTCCCTGTCTCCATGAGCCCTAATGCGGGTGAGAACCAGAATGTCGAAACGCTGTTGAGCCAGATCCCCCGCATCGTCAAAGAATTGGGCGTCAAGTCCCCCTTGTGCCACAACATGACCAACTTAGTGGTCCAGAACTTCGCAGCAAATGTGGCTCTGTGTATCGGCGCAAGTCCCATTATGGCAAACTACGGCGAAGAAGCTAAGGATCTGGCCGGACTGGGTGGTGCACTGGTCGTCAACATGGGCACTGTCACACCAGATGGCTTGACCAACTATATTTCAGCAATCCGCGCATACAATGAAGTCGGTGGCCCTGTCTTGTTTGATCCCGTCGGTGCAGGAGCCACGGCCGTCCGCCGGCAGTCCGTCAAGACGCTCATGAGTAATGGCTATTTCGACCTCATCAAGGGCAACGAGAACGAGATTACAACGGTTCTTGGAGAAAGCTTGGTGCAGCAAAAAGGTGTCGACATGGGCGCTAGCACCACTGATGAGTCTGCCAAGGCCCAGTTGGTGAAGAAGTTGGCCGCAAGAGAACGGAATGTCGTTCTCATGACGGGGAAGACGGACTATCTGAGTGACGGCGAAAGAACGTACGCAATTAAGAATGGACATGACTATCTTGGCAATATAACCGGCAGTGGCTGCACATTGGGTACCACGATAGCAGCGTTCCTCGCTGTGCACAAAGGGGATAAGTTGCTTGCCGCCCTGGCAGGTATCCTGATGTATGAGATCGCGGCTGAGCAGGCTGGAGAGAGGGAAGACGTTAAGGGGCCTGGTACTTTTGTACCTGCGTTCTTGGACCAGCTGTATAGGATTGCTCAGAGCGCATCAAAGGATGATTCTGAATGGCTTCGGGCCGCGAACATTGAGAAGTTCAGTGTCTGAACCCTCGAGCCTGGGCTTCCAACATGAGGAGGGATCTGGCTTCTGGCCACATTCCCTTCCACCTCTGTCTAGCTCATTCCATGTATAGTCCACTGCTCGTATGTACACACGATCTTCTACAAAAGCCCTTCGCACTCAGTTGCAGCGATCATAACGTACATCCATAGCAGGCTCAAGATGCCTCCACCAATCTCAGTCTCGCAACTGTACATGCCATTCGTCATGTCTTGCCCATCCGCCTTCTCACCCCCTCTCCCTCTCAAGCATACAAACCTCAAACTCGACCCCTCCCTCCCTCCTCACACCACCCACCCCTTCCTCCCCGACCCACCTCTCCAACTCCTCCGTAGACCTCCTAACCCATCTCCCCCCGGGCCCACCCCCCCCGCCTTCCCCTTTCCCGTCTCCCCCAACCTCGTCCCCGACCGGCAGCACCCCGTTCGGGAAGAAGACGTCGCACTCCCACTCCCCCCTCAGCCTCGTCCACAGGATCCTCTCGCAACACTCCATCTCCAGCGCACGCCGATAGACCTCCGCCCCTCCGATCACAAAGACCCTCCCCAGCCGCACGGCCTCCGCTTCTCCCACAACACCGTCCCCGTCCAGCAGCCGCCGCCGCTCTTCCCCCCTCGCCTCCCCTTCCCGTCCCCCCGGCGGACCCGGATACGCATCCCGCAACCGCCTCAACCCCTCCTCGATCCCCCCGACCCCCAAAACCCCCTCGCGCTCCGGCAAACCCAACCCCCGGACATCCCTCGTCAGGACCACGTTGACCCTGCCCTTCAACGGGCGCGCCTTGGGCGGCAGACTCTCCCACGTCTTGCGGCCCATGATGACGGCATTGCGGCTCTCCTTTGCCGTTTCGCGGCCCGTGGAGGTGTGGGGCTGAGGAGGTGGAGGAGGGGAAGGTCGAAGGTGCGGGGGGGGAGGACGTTTGGTGACGCGGGCGAAGAAGGCGAGGTCGGGTTTCAGGGGCGGCCAGGGGAGGGTGCCGCGGAGACCGATGCCGAGGGAGGGGGTGGTGGCTACGATTAGGGTGAGTGGGGGGAGGGGAGGGGGCATGGAGGCGGGAGAGGGGGGCATGGTGAGGTTTTGGGGGGGAAAGAGGAGGTGGTGGTGTTTGATCATGTATGTTGAGAAAGTTGATCGTGGCATTTTTTGACTATTTGATATCCAATTCTATGACTCAGCCCGTTCGTTCCTCACCCTCTTTTCCAACTCCTCTACCGTCTCCATTGCTCCCGGTTGGCTCTTGATTCGACCCCGTGGCCTCCGCTCCGTTGCCGCCCCGCAACCTGCTCAATCCCGCCGCCACCTTCACCGCCGCAGCTTCCGCCCTCGTCTCCGCCTCGCTGCTCCCCACCGTCTGCAGTTTGCCAAACAGCCACGCTTCCTTGAGTATCCGTGTCAGGGACAGGATATCCTCTGCGGCCCGGATCTGGGGACAGAATACTGTCAGGACACTTCCCACACGCACTGAAAAAGGGGCGCGTGAACCGTAGAAGCGGGCAACAATCATGTAGGCTCCATCGTTTTTGAAGCCGTTGGGGGCAATAGGAAGATTGTAGATATCGTACCAATGCCGACGTCTCGACCTCCATCTGATAGGCCCCCACGGCAGTGGCATTGCGATCTTGCTTGCCGTCCTGCACACTCCACCACACGTCAGCCTTCCATATATTCTGGACCGTCCCACTCTTTGCTGCAGTAAGGCAACACGGACGGATTCAAACGCAATGATGTTCTCGAAACGGCGCAGGAGCTGCGCTACGTCTGCGGAGGCACGGTCTACCGGCGTTAGCGATTTGCACCGGAAAAGTTGCAGAGGAGATGACGGAGGAAAAGCAGCGTGTTGGGGGGGGGGAGTAAGTACCAAGGAGAGCACCAGAGGTGCATTGGTTCGGATCCATGCACACAGGATTGCTGGTCGTGGTAGTCAAGTGGAGAGGACAGTCGTAGAAATCACGCCTGCAAGAATATCCCGCATGATATTGAAAGTTGCACGAGGCTGGGGGCGGCAGGAATGTGTTGAAGAGGGAGGATGCGAACCTCAATACTCAGCTACAGGAGATCGATCATCGAGGCATACAGGTCACGGCATCACCAGAAGTCTCGGAGAGGACATTGGTTCTCAATGGCTCGTTGATAGCTATTCATGCTAATCTAGAACGTGACCCTACTCGGTCTAAGGACCATGAGGATTGTGTCGTCACCAGTCGCCGGCAAGCATATCCTCTTGTACAGACCATGCTATCAGACTGGGCAAGCACGTAGCCAGAATTTTCTACCAGTTGCTGCCACCCTGATTGCCGTTGTTGCTGCTGCCACCACCACCACCACCACCACCGAACTTGTTCTCGGCCATGCCCATTAGTTTGCCCTTGAGTCCTATATAGGGAACGATTAGCACCGTCAGGCATTGAAGATGAATATGGGTGAGCTTACCTCCACCTGAGCCTCCGCCCGATTGGTTACCTGAGCCTCCGCTAGACTGGTTGCCTGATCCAGAGTCACCACCGTAGCCTCCGGAGCCGGAGTCGCCGCCTGATTGACCTCCTCCGTAGCCTCCTCCAGAGCCGGAGTCACCACCCATGCCGCCTGATTGTCCTCCACCGTAGCCTCCTCCAGAGCCGGAGTCACCACCCATGCCGCCTGATTGGCCTCCACCGTATCCTCCTCCAGAGCCGGAGTCACCACCCATGCTGCCTGATTGGCCTCCACCGTATCCTCCTCCGGAGCCGGAGTCACCACCCATGCCGCCAGATTGACCTCCTCCGTAGCCTCCAGAGCCGGAGTCACCACCAGATTGTCCACCTCCGTAGCCTCCGGAGCCGGAGTCACCGCCTGATTGGCCTCCCTGGCCACCGCTCATGCCACTGTCACCACCCTGCACAGACACATTAGCATGCTGTCAAACGCGGTCTCAGTAAAGACGTCATGACTTACTCCGTAGCCTCCACCCTATGAGGAAGAGAAATTAGTGAGCTGTCTATTGGAAGTGAGGTGGGCACTCACGGATTGTTGGTCATCACCGTATCCAGACATGTTGATTAGGTTGGTTGTGAGGTTTTTAGGTGTTGGATTGGTTGGATTGTAATAGGGAACAGGATTTTAGATTGTTGGAATGCGGATGAGAAGATTGAAAGGTGGAGGAAGTGAGTTATTTAAATATGAAAACGATTCAGGCGGGGTCGTATGGGCAAGGGTGAATTGAAAGTCACGACCCCACGGATGACGAATTGACGATTCAACCGATCGACCAAGTTTTGGCGGGGCGCAGTCTGCGGGTTGCAATTTCCTTGGATCAACATTCTCAGGGACACGGATTGGAATGCAAAGGAAATCTGTACTCGTAATTTACCCCCCCAACCTCTCCAACAAACAATAACAAAGAGACCCCGCACCAGCCGATACTCGATAAGATCGCTGCAATATGACGCCCTTCCATCATTCGTGCCCTGAGCTACTCCGAGGCATGCATTTCTTGGCCCAATGGCTTCACTGGCTTTCTGCGTGAGGGTCCTGAACACATCACTTTCAGCTGGCACGCTCATGCATAAAGCGGTCTCAGAAACTTGGCATGGGCGCGGCAAGAAATGCTTCGCAGTAGCGCTGGCGCATCATCGCCTTCTTTTTGCTCCGAGCAAAAGGTTCGTCGGCGGCGAAGGCAGAAAGCAATAAGCAGGGCAAATCCTTCGCTTTTCCTGGCTCCAATCGAGATCAGAGCCCGAGGTACATCCTAGAGTAGGTAGGTAATTATGCGGCATTTGATCTCATCCGGTTTTTCAAGGGGGCTACTCGGCCGCCTTTTACTCGCTGCTTTTCATAAGTTGACGGAGGGCTCTGGGATAGAGCCGTTGCCACTGGGTCATGCACGGTTTCTCGATCCTGAGAGGTTCAGCTTGGCTACCACCTATTCAATCAAGTCCACGGACTGTCCGCATAGCCATCAACTACCGCCTCGACAGTTCGAAGAAGAGAGCAGCCGTATGCAGGTACAATCAATCGCTCTGCCTTGGGAGGTCTGTTATCCCTGACAGCCATGGCTGCAAGAGACCCTTTTCATGATCAAAATGCGCTAGGTAGATGACTCCAGTAATGTACTTTGAGGGGAAGCCTTTGAGCCTTCTTCAACGAACAGCGGAATTGATTGCTTTCTCATGTCCTTGCAAAAGTAGACATCTCATCGAACATACTTGCCCTGCATAGTTGTCAGCCTTGGCTAGCTCGGCAATGATCCAACCTGCTTTCAGTGACTACTTACCATAAATCGTTTGTGGAAGTCTGACCGAAGCAAATCCTAATGACAACAATTAGTCTAGACCGGCGTGATAGAAAGGATCACATACATTCACAAATTCCTTCTTGCCTTTATTCTCGGTACCCCTTGCCTGGTTCCTAAATACCACATCATCGTCCCATCTAGAATGATATAAGCCAATGATGGTTTGAGCTAATAGGCCGTACACAGACCTTCGCTTGGTCTCAGTTTCTTTCGTCGGCATCAAAAGAGGATTGCCGAGAGCAATGTCATTCTCTCGCTTCTCTTGCTCTGCTGATGCTCTCTCGCGCTCCTAGAAGGCAAAGCTTAGCAAGTATCACGGAGCGAACTATTTTCTTTCCCCTCCACACTTACTTCCTTTTCTTTCTGTTCAGCCCTTTCCCTTTTGATCTTCTCGAGTTCCCGCAGCAGCTCGGCGGTCTCGTCCTCTTCATCGTCACTGTTCGGTTCCTCAGGTTAACAAATGACTCAAATCCAAGCCTTTCTTGGCATACCTATCTTCTTCGCTACTATCATCGCTCTTAGAACCATCCGAGTCTGCGTCGACATTCCTGGTTTCCTCTAGTACACGCAGTCTCTTTGCCTGTAGGTCCTCTTCTTCTCCATTTTCCCCAGGACCGTCCTCTAATCTGCGTTTACTGGATATGGTAGACTCCGTAGTCTTGGCAGCTGCCGGATTCGTCTTGGAAAAATGTACAGCTTCAGCTTCGAGGAGCTGGGCTCTGAGGTCTCGTACATAAGGGTCGGCATCTCCTCCTTGTCCGGGCTGTCTATGTGGCTGTTAGTTTACGCAGTAGGAACATCACGACGAGCATACCGAACTTTGAGCTGGGTGTGTGCTGGGAGTAGTCGCTGGTGATATGCTACTCCCCGCTGGGCGTCTTTCCCACGGGCCTGTTTCATTCAGCGGCCTCCGTGCGAAGAGGATATTGAAAGAGCTTACCGGATCGAACGTAGGCCTATGAGCTGTAGCATTGTAAGCAAGATGTCACAGCCTGATGTCCTCCACTACTCACCTGTCGTCATCTTGAGGCTCGCGTAGATATTTCTGATGCTGTGAAAAAGGATAAAGCAGTGTTGAGCACTCTAGTTCTTCTGCCAAGCCTTTTCAGCCTTACGGAATTTGATCTTCACCGAGATTTCAACCGCCCGAGAGGCTCTCTTTTCCTTCAATGACCAAGGGACCAACTGTACCAATGAAGCCCCTTGCACTGGACCACAGGAATTACAAGTGTTCTCGCTCTTAAAACTCTTTTGCCGAGCTGGCGATCTAGAATGATGGTCTTGAAGATATTGTACTGGAAAAGCTGGAGGTTTCTGTGGGAGCAACACCACCCTGGCAGCAATCAAAAAGCAAAGCCTTGGAGCAAGAACGGCTGAGCCACAGCAGGGGCAGTATCAAAATTGTTCCCCTTTCTTGCTTTCCAGAAGATGCATCCGATGCGAATCGACCAGGACGAGCAGGATACTGGCATTCTTCCTTCAATTGGAGCGTCCATTATGTTTTCCCTAAATGCCATGATCATCATAACGGCACCCACTTATCGTCAATGCTCTCAATACTCCCATCAGTATATTGATCATTTAACGGTGCCTACAAGGAATCAATGCAGTCTTTTTTTCGCTAGCGGTACCTTATTCTCCCAAGGCGTGCTGTTAGATAGATCCTGCTTACATACTCGCCGTAATCGGACGCTGCCATGCAGAGAGAGGGAGACGAAGAGCCCTATGATTACTTTCAATTGCCTCTCATCGCAACCAGTCCCCAGTCATCCCTCACGCATACTCATCTCCCTTCATCTATAGGTTTGCGGAGTCAGCCTTCCCACTTCAAGGTACAATTCCGAGCAATGAGATGATCATTGGGGTATTAGACCATTTGCTCCGAGACCATTTCTTGCAACTCAGAAAGGGTTCCAGAGAAGGAAGGATTGGCTCCAAGATGTACATACCCATCCCAACTGCTTCCACATATTCAATTTGTCCCATTCTTTAGTGAAGCTATGTACTTTTCCATCTTGTACCTCAAAGATAGCAGCAGCTGTCCATTTCGCCTTCTTTCCGCTGGGCTCAATGCCATTGTGAGGCTGCCCACAGTGACTACCTTCAGCGCTGTACCTTAGCAGCACATGCCCTTCTTTCGCAAACACGATGTCGTAGCTGATGATGTGCAGGTCGGCGATAGCGGACATGACCTTTGCGTGGGAGTCCGCATAATCAAGGGGCGCTACGAATATACCAGTCAGAGATATCCGATTCGGGATCGAGGATTGAGTAGGGTACGGATAAGGAAATAAAGGGCTGATGAACTTGCTTACTATGGCAGGTCGGGAAAGTAGTAGGGGCGGCGAAGGTCGAGTTTGGGGTACAGAGATGCGAAACGCTGGAGCGACCTTTGTTGTTTTCGGGCGAATAGGCGGTTGACATGTAGTCCAAGACCACAGCAATGTTTTTCTGGCACGAGCATGTCAGAGAGAGAGAAAGAGTTCGGTGTCACTCATGATTATTCTACCTTCTCCTCATCTGTCTGGGCGGTCGAGACCTTGATTGGAGGTTGCCAGCTAGACATTTTTCAACTACCGGGTGGAATGATTATACTATAATTCATCTGCTGAACAGCAAAAAGTCTGCTCTTGGATCATTGAAATGCTTGTTACGTCACTACTATACTAAAGTTTGTATCACTTTACCGTACCTCGGTGCTCCCTTTCATAATCGAGTACTTCCGTATCTTGAACGACCTATCTTCAGTCCTTACGCACAGTACGTACCCAACGACTAACGGAGCGAGTACTCTACATTTGGGCAGTCATCTCAAGCCTCTCTAAGGAGAGTCTTCCCCTTTTCATGAGCTAAGATACTTCATGTTCCAAGTGATTCTGAAGGGCCACTGCTTGTCCACGACCAGAGGTCTGACAATAATTTATGGTCAAGTCATGCACTTAAAGAGAGCCTCGAGAGTCTCACATGTCACATGTCACATGTCACATGTCACAACTTGATGGCATCAAACTTTCAGCAACCCCGCGGTACGAGTGGAAAGCTTGGCGATAAATTCCCCGGCCACGAGACAAGGGAACGACGTTATGATTCTTCCATATTTTTCTATTTCCGGCCATTCCTCACTCGAATCTTTTTCTTCTTTGTTGCTCGTCTGACTCGTAGTGAAAATTCACGATACATGATACATGATACGACGGTCTCTGAAACTGCACTGCCTTGTGTTTCGTCTCCGCGTCGACGGCGGATGCCTGTTCTAGTACGACCTTATCATTCCTTCGTTGGTTCGCTCGGCTGCGAAACACCGCAAAGGATTTGAACGTGTTTGGGACCTGTTACACTCAGCCCGCTCCGGGCGGCTCGAAAAGTGTTGTTGTGACCATGGAAAGTAAGATATACGCAGTTGCCTGCACCTCGTGCTTGCATGCTCTGCTGATGCGAGCTTCATATATTTACGTCGTCGTTTACTTTGTACCATATGAGGACTGTACCCACGATGACTGACAATCGACCTGGTAGAAACCTCCGTTTGAGCTTTGCTCCCATTCGCATCCCCCCTCCATTCACCATGCCTCGCTCGGCGTCCTCCCACGTTTCCTCTCAGACTGTCGATGAAGAAGATGAGGAGGATGATAATATCATATCTCAACAAGCTGGCTACATAACACCCACTTCGCCTACAGCTGCTCGCCGTCTCCATTCTGCTAGGACGTCTGAGCTGGACCTTCGGAGACGCATGCCTTCTAAACGACATTCATATGACGAACACTCGAGCCTGCTGGCATCTGGGGATGGTAACATGAGGAGTTACACGGCGCCCAACACCGGGCGGCCGCGCTTCTCAAGACGGTCGAGTCAAGGCAGCCTCGGAATGCCTAAGAATCACAGCAGAGCCAGCTCATGGGGTTTCCACCTAGCAAACGCACTTGGCTCAGGGCGAAAGTTCACGGAAAATGGCATGGGCGAGTCCAAAGCCTCAATATTCATGGACGAGCGAGTGTGGTACGATCAGTTTACGTCGACGGATTGGGTGCACGACAGCATCGCTGATGCCTTTCGAGTACGTGATCTTCGAGCACGGAAGGACCTACGAGGACGCATATTCGCGTGGTTTGACGGAGCCCAAGGCTGGATACTTGTGGCTATAATTGGATGTATAACCGCGTGCGTAGCGTTTTTCGTCAACATTTCAGAGACTTCTATTTTCGATTATAAGGACGGCCATTGCAAAGAGGGCTGGTACTTCAGCAAGAGGAAGTGTTGTTACGGGCTGAATCACTGTCCCTCCTGGGAAAGCTGGGGAGAACGTATGAGTATCACCGGCATCGAGAGGATGTGGATCGATTTCATAGCCTACGTTTTCTTCGTGGTATTCTTCGCTGTCGGCGCCTGCTTCTTGACCTTGATCACTAAGACCGAGATACCATCAGCATTCTCACTCTCCACCCTGGACGAAAACTTGGGCGCCGACAAGCAGAAGCACCGTGGAGAATCCGACGATATGAGCCAGAAAGTCAGTTTAAGTCCCACTGGGCCCGAAGTTGTTGATGAAAAGCCTGGAACCATGGTCTACTACCCTGCTGCAGGAAGCGGTGTTGCTGAAGTGAAAGTTATTCTCAGTGGCTTCGTCGTGCACGGTTACCTGGGGCTTCGAACACTTGTTGTGAAGACTTTCGCCCTCATCCTCAGTGTCGCATCTGGCCTTAGTATCGGCAAGGAAGGTCCTTATGTTCATATCGCGACTTGCGTAGGAAATATTGCTTGCAGATTATTCTCAAAGTACAACCACAATGATGGCAAGCGGCGAGAGATTCTTAGCGCCAGTGCCGCCAGCGGTGTCGGTGTCGCGTTTGGGGCGCCCATTAGCGGTGTTCTTTTCAGTCTCGAGGAGGTTAGCTATTACTTTCCGCCCAAGACATTGTTCAGGACCTTCTTTTGCTGCATCGTAGCAGCTCTTTCGCTCAAATTCCTCAATCCTTACGGCACTGGGAAGATAGTCATCTTTGAAGTACGCTACGTTACTGACTGGAGGTCCTTCGAAATGTTTGTCTTTATACTGCTTGGTATTCTAGGTGGTGCACTTGGTGCACTGTTCATCAAAGCATGCAGACTATGGGCCCGTACCTTTCGACGCATCCCCAGCATCAAACGGTGGCCGGTCCTTGAAGTCGTACTCGTGGCGTTAGTCACTGGTCTAGCCAGCTTTTGGAATCGCTACACCAAGCTCGCAGTCACAGAACTTCTCTTCGAGCTGGCCAGCCCTTGCAAAGATAACACATCTGGCCTCTGCCCTCAGCATGGAAGCGAGATTCTCGGCATTGTTGGATACCTTTGCGTTGCGTTCGTCATCAAAAGCATCCTGACTGTTATCACTTTCGGCATCAAGGTTCCTGCCGGGATATACGTTCCTTCCATGGTTGTTGGTGGTCTAATGGGACGCATTGTGGGCCACCTTGTCCAATACCTCGTCTTTTTGCACCCCGATCATCCAGTCTTCGGTAGCTGCCCTAAAGGCGGAGATCTGGAAGGCTGCATCACCCCCGGCGTCTACGCATTGGTTGCCGCAGGTGCAACCATGTGCGGCGTAACCAGACTATCCGTCACCCTTGCCGTCATCCTCTTCGAGCTCACCGGAAGCCTAGACCACGTGCTCCCCTTCTCCCTCTCAGTCTTAGTAGCCAAATGGACCGCCGACGCCCTCGAACCTCTCAGCATCTACGACCTTCTCACAGACATGAACTCTTACCCCTTGCTCGACAACAAAATCCGCCCGATCTTCACCTCGGATCTCGGAGACATCACCCCAAAAGTCCGCTCCCATCGCGTCATCGACATCTCCAACTCCCCCCTTGTCTCTGCTCAAGCTCTCCGCCGCAAACTCGAGTATCTCCACGACGCCGGCGAAATCGACGGCGGGCTCCCTGTCATTCGTCACGATATCCTTGTGGGCCTCATACCTGCCCCGGATCTCCAATTCGCGCTCGACAACCTCGAAGACGAAGAGCAGTCGTTGTGCTTGATGGCCACCAACGTAACATGGCATGGAAACGTCGAGGAAGAAGAAGAGCGAGAACCGGATCCTACCGATTTCACGCCCTATATCGATCCGGCGCCTGTGGCATTGGACATCCATTCGCCAATGGATCTTGTTTTTCAGTGCTTTGTCAAGTTGGGATTGAGGTATATTTGTGTGCTGAGGGATGGGCAGTATGCAGGGTTGGTGCATAAGAAGGCATTTGTGAAGTATGTCAAAGAGTTGGAGGAGGCTGGGTCGACGGATCCTTCGTGAACGGGGGATATTGCGCACGACTATTTGCGTTTTGGGGGTTTTGTACCCTTTATATCCTGTCCAATCATATTTAGCGTTTGCATGTTTGAACTATACCTGAGCGTTTTCATTTTAGCATTGTTATACAGAATCGGGCACTCAGGATCTGGATTGGCAAAGACCTTGGCTTTGTATCATATTTGGGGCATTTTTGATCCGCATGTTAGCACATTACGTTTGCGCTTGGGTCCACGGATGAAAGTTACTAGCATTTCACCCATGATGAGCTTCCCAGCGTGTTCAAAAGTCCACCGTTCTCGCTTCTCACCACCGTCACCGCTCATTCTCCGCCCTCAACTCCCTACTCATGCCTCCCTTGTCCCTCCTTTTCGCATCCTTCGCCAACGCTCCATCCATGGCCTTGCCCAGCTCCCTGACCTTCCCCATCGCCACCTCGACACATCGCAACAACACCAGCGCATCCACCTCCCCTCCGCCCCCTTTCTGCACCAGACACACTTCCCCCTGCGGATTCGCCGCGACTACGATTTCCCCTTCACTGCATTGCTGCTCCATCAACGTCGCGTCCACGAGCCATTTTTCACCCGATTCGAAGAAGTTGAGGGTCACACAGACGGGGTGGTGGAGTAGGGCGAGCGGTACAGGATCGCGCTCCAAGGAGGTGTAGACGGTCAAGTCGCCGCCTTTTACGCTAGTGTCCGGGATTCTGTAGTGCCGGAGTGCGGTCAGGGTGGAGAGGCAGCAGGCGTCTATGAGACCGCCGTCGTAGTCGAGGACGTGGATGTCGGCGCGGAGGGCCCATACTTTTTGGCCCGCTACCAGGCAGAGGGACTCGGTCGACAGAGCTTGCGAGCGCCGGAGGGAGGTCTCGAGGATGCGGGAGAGGTGCGTTTCGAGGTCTGATTGGCTATGGGATGGATTAGCCTGGTCATCACTGAGGGACAAGAGTGAGGGAGGGCCGGATGCGGAGTGTGTAGCGTAGGGAGGAAAGAGGGAGAGGTCTTACCCCAGACATGGAGGGGAGGATCCTTACCGGCCGGATTCGAAGGCGGGGGATGCGAGGGGGGAGAGCTCGGTTGTGATGGTGAAGATGCCGTCGAACTTCCGGTCGGGGCGGGGAGCTGTTATGGAGGCTGAGATACGTGTGAGGATTCTATGGACGGGTCAACGATTGCCACAAGTCAACTGATTCCAGGTCAAGAGATGGATACCTCGTCTTGCCCAAGCGAACGTCTGCAACGCCGTAGTCGTCGCCGAAGGATATGTCGAGGTGGCGGTAA